GGTAAGAACCAATGGAAGGTACACCCAGATGCTTAAACTTTTAGATAAGACTGGAAGAAATTAAGGGGAAATAGTCCATGGCCCTCAAGACACTTGCTTGTGTGTGAAATTTTAAAAACTGACACTTCAGGGCCCTCCCTGGTCGCGCAGTGTGGGTAGGACACAACACTGCAAGCTGGCCGCAGCTGCTTCAGTGTGAGTTCAGGAGAGGTCCCGGAGGTGACCCACATGGTGCTGCAGACATCCCCTAACCCACCCGCTACTCCCCTCAGCAGTGTGCTTCGTCGTTCTGCCTGTTCTGCTCCCCACTCTATCTCTGGTGAATCCTCTCACTTCCCCTGGTTTGTACCCCAGTTCTGTATGCATAAATAAATAATCCTTAAAAAAAAAAAAAAAACTGACTTCAGATGAATGTCTGTTCTGAAACATTTCCCAGGAAGTTGTCATGAGTTGGGCTTCTTTGGAAAAAGCCATCTTTTTGATGCCAACAAGATCAGATCTGGCTGACTGTATGGCATAAACATTTCATATATTTTCTCTTCCAGAACTTTCTGGGACATGGAAAACAAGAGGCAACAGTCCAAGGTAATAAAAATGTTAACTGGGCCAAACATTTGAAGGCAGGAGGAACCTTGGTATGCACGCCTATTACTTGACATTTCAGCTGCCCCAAAACAATACTAAAGGATGAGTTTCTACTGTAAGTGTGAGGTGAGGAGATCCAAACACTCTCTAGTTATTAAGAAATGGGGGAAAATTATACAGTTTTTTTTGACTGATAATGTGATGTACATTAAATGCTTTTGATCTTCTCTTCATTTGTAGTCACTGTAATATTTTGTAGTCTGCAATACCTGTATGTAAAATAGCAACAATAAAAAATGCAACCAGAGAAGATCCTTCTGGTTTGGGTGTTGGGTGTGGGGGGGTGGGGGGAGAGGTATTAAGGAATAGCACTATGCAGTTTGGAGTAAGAGAGAAACAAGTAGAAGTTGAGTGATAATTTTCAAAAGGTCACTGGGTGGAGACAGCTAGGACAGTGAATGAGCCTCCTCAAATAGTGTTGCAGAGGGGAAGGGGGAAGAAATCTGCAAGCAGAGCCAATCTTATTGTTCAGAGCTTGCATATTTCAGTGTGTTTGTATCTAAATGCCCAGCCTTGAACTACTGTGGTTCTGATAAGGAAGTAAGGGGGCTTTAAGAATTAATCATTGTAAACTCAACCTTGTAATTCCCAACAGGGATGAAAGTCTGTGTGAGAGCAATATACAACTTGATATTCTGATTTAGCATTTCACAAGTATAACATAACCCATGTAATCTGACCACATGTGCTAGTAACATATCAGGGATCTCCAGAGAAACAGAGCCACTGGGGTACACAGACAGACACTCTCGGGATGGGCTGGTATGTTGGCAGGGGTTGAGAAGCCCAATGATCTGTCCTTTGCAGTTTGAAACTTGGTAGTGGAATGAGGCTGCTTGAGCCCGAGGGCCAGGAACACCAATGTCCAAGGGTCAGAGAACATGGACAGTCCAGTCCAAGCAGATAGCAGATTCTCCTTTCCTCTCTCTGCCTTTTGTTCAGTTAGGCACTCATTAGGTTAAATGGAGTCCACCCACATGGGGAGGCCCATCTGCTTTACTGAATTCATTGGTTCAAATACTAATCTCATCCAGAAATGTCCTCCCAGAAGCACTCAGAAATAATGTTTAACCAAGTATCTAAGCCCCCCACGACCAGTCAAGATTCAAGCTGATGCATAAAGTAAGCATCACACTGTAACAGGCTCAGAGACAGGAGGTGGAGCAGGAGGTGAGTATGGCAAGCATCCAAACTAAAATTTTATGCCCTGCCCCCATCTTTTGCCTCCAGGAGCTGTCTAGCAAATAGCTAGTTCAAGGCTGCAAATAGGGGCTTCTCCCAGTTAACAGAGCTGCCCCTTTTTTGAATCTCTTTTCCATTCCTGTTCATTGGACATTTATTTTGCTTCTGGAGCTGTGCTAACTCTGCCACAAACTGCCCATGCACTCTTTATGTATTTGGGGCTACCTGAACCACAAGACCCTTGGCCTACATCCTGAGGGGAATGGGCTCCCTCTCCTTATCAGTAAGTAGCCAGTGCAGGCACCAGGTGAAGCTCTGTAAAATTTAGTATGTTGTAATCACCCACTATACTGGTGGGTGAATTGTAATTTCAGTTTGTGGGTTTTCCAATAAAGCTGGGGGCCTCTGCTGACAACAGGGGGCAGTTTAGGATTCTGTAGGTAACAACTGCGCTTATCTCCAGGGCCAAGTCTTTCCTGTGTTGCCTCCAGGTTCCACAGATGCTCTAGTGGGTAGGCCTGTCTAGGACAGTAGCTGCCAAGCTCCCAGGGTTCGGGTTCGCTTTCCTGCCCTGAAGCCTGTGAGGGTGACCAGGGTACCCCAGCCTCTGTGGGGACAGCCTTGGTTGTTGCCAGATAGCAACACCCAGGTTTGTCTACTAGTTGGAGAACTCCCTAGCAAGTTTTTTCTTGACATGGGGGTGAAACCTGGGGGAGCTGGAGGAATATTTGGGCTCCCCTGAGGCTCAAAGCACAGATCCCCTGGTGGAATCATGCTGGAAGAGGGTTCATCCCACAACTATCTCTAGACTTGCTGCCCCCCCCAACTATGGTGGCCCCTCAACTGCAAAGATCCCACCTACCTAAGGTGCCAGCCCCCACTAGCCACATCCGTTTCCTGTAGTCCTCCCCCAACCTGTGGTGCTTCCCCAGTCCTCTGGCCGCATGCCCTTAGAGATGCTCCCCCGCTGCCCACCTGTGGCGCTTGGCGTCCGCGGTACTTGCACCCACCTGTGGTGCTCAGAGGGCGGCTGCTTCTAGTTCCAGCACCTGTGATGCACCCAACCGCCTTGCGCCCCCTCCCAAGGCGCTCCCTCAGTGGGCCCTTAGGGCGCACGCGACCCGCCCCTCTCTGCCCATTGGCCCGCGTGCCGAGCGGGCGGGGCGGCGGTTCCAAGGAACCGCGGCGCGGGCGGGGCGCACTGCCTGCAGAGCACCCTTCGCGACGCTGGCTCCTGGCCGCCTAGCCATGGACGACGAGGACTCGAACAACAAAGTCTCCCTCCGAATGTTCCTGGAGCACCTCTCCGGGGCTGGCAAGGCCATCGGAGTACTGACCAGCGGCGGGGATGCCCAGGGTGAGCGACCGCCCAGCCCTACCCCGAGGCGTGGGGGTTGCGGGGGGGAGGGGCGGTGGGGGGTGGGAAGGGAGGAGATGGGAGCGGAGGACAGGGACGGTGGGATCCGCAAGAAGAGGTGGGGGCGCCTGGAAGAAGAGATGGGGGGGTACCTAGGAGTAGGGATGGGAATACGAGGACGCAGGATGCGGGCACAGGGTAGAACGGATGGGGCGTGAGGGCGCGGGTAGACAACTGATGTGGACACCGGGGATAGCAGGGGCAAGCGCTGGGGTGGGGCGAGGGGGAGCTGGGAGAAACCAAAAGGAGTGCCAGGGAGAAACCAAGGGCAGGGGAGCCCTAGCGCAGGAACCGCAGGGTGCCTTCCGGGCTGCGGGACTGTGGGTGCAACCTCTTAAGTGGCCACTGTGCAGGCAGAGAGGAGGAATGGAAATGGCCGTAGGACCCTTTATCAGGAAACTCAAGTAATTTTTTCATCTCCATGTTTATTTTTTTCGTTGGAACTGGCGCGGGGGACACCTGGAATCCCTTGGACTTCATTCCTCGCCTGAGTCATAGTATGGGGTCGGACGCCCCTCCGTCAGCTGGGTCACAGCGTCACCCCAGCGCGGTCTTCCCGCCTCCCCACTCAGTGTCGTAGAAAAAACGGCTGGGTACCCGGCGCGCCCCCCGCGGACTCGCGCCCCCTGCGCGGCGCCGGCCGAGTCCCTGCTGCTGCACTGCGGGTCGGAGTAGGCGCGTTAGGGTCCTGCGCGTGTTGCCCTTCTGGCTCCGCACGGCCTCGTGTTTCCGATGGGTGGTTTTTAAAAAGGGCTTCGGAGGCTCCAATCTCCAGTTAGCTTCCGGCTCCTGACAAAACAGAAAACCGCAACGGGTCTTGAGGCCCGTCTCGCCCGGCTCCCTGGCTGGGGAGGGCGGGAAGCGGGAACTCCGAGGACGTCACTAGCACTGGAGACGGGATTCCAGGCACCAACCCCCACCCCCACCCCGCAATGTGGAGGCTGATTTCTGGGAGGGGTGGAGGAGACGCTCCTATCCCACACCCCTTGAACTCACGAATAGAATATTTAAATTTAAGGTCGGGGAGAGTCTTGTGGGATAGGTGACACGGCGCTTCCACGCGTGGTGGGAACGCAGGATTTCTCAGACCGTGGGGTTTCCGGGTCCTGGTAAATGCTTGGGTAATGCAGAACCAATCGCTAGAAGGCAGCTATCAGTGCTTCCCTGCTCACATGTCTTTGGAGCTGAAGGATCACAACGGTTTAAAAACGAGCTGAGTTCCAGAGCTGAGTTTTGGTTTTCCTTTCTATTCCTCCTTGCCCTTCCGCACTGCACATCAGCTTGAGTCCCTGACGCCTACTTTTCTTAAGTTTCGGGGCTACACACGATAGAGAGATGCTCAGGGAAGGCACTGGCCCCCACCACCTCTTGCGGGTGACCTTCTCTGCCCTTGAGCGGGGTAGGGCGTGGCCGGCGCGGGTGTGGCTGGTTGGAGCTCCGCAGCTGCCCCGCCTGCCCAGGACGCCTACGTGATGCCTGGCCCGTCGCTGCCCGCAGGTCCAGCGCGATGTCTGGGGCCCTAGGCACTTGGTGCTTGTGGGCGGGAGCCATGGGGACAGGTGCTCTTGTCCCTAGCGAGCCTAATGAAAACATGAATTGGCTGAGGGTACAGTTAACCGGCCCTGACTCCACAGGTGGGAGGTGTCTGAAGGAAGCAGGGCTGTTCTCATGTGGGGTAATAGTAAAGAGTGATCCCCAGTAAAACATGAATTGGCTGAGGGTACAGTTAACCGGCCCTGACTCCACAGGTGGGAGGTGTCTGAAGGAAGCAGGGCTGTTCTCATGTGGGGTAATAGTAAAGAGTGATCCCCAGTGTAAACCTTGCAGGCTAAGAAAATGTGAAATAGAAAGGCTGGGGTTGGGGAAATATGTGACCGGGTCCAGAGGTGCTCTAGGTCCGGACACTAGGGGTCTCAGTGAGGCTGAAAGTGGCTTCCCTGCCACATGGTTTCAAAAGCATTTGCCTACCAGGACATGAGGGACGCAAATTAGGAAGCATCTTAGAGTGAACTTTGTACTGGGGTTCCAAAGACAATGAGCTGTTAACACAGGAAGAGGAACTATCTCTTTAGCCATAGGCTTCAAGGTCAGAGTGTCAAGGTCATTTGAGAATGAAAGTGGTGTATCTGTTGACAAAAAAATAAATGTTTGTGGGGCATTATTTTGAGTCCTTGTCCAAAAGTTTGCATAACTACCTGACGGTGCAATAGGCAGAATCAACCTTGTTTGTTACAAATGCAGACCCTGCCACTTGTGAGCTGTTATAAACACAGAAGGCAGTAAGTCCACATTCTTTTTCACAGTGGAAAAAGACCCTTTGATATTTCCTTTTCCTGAGGATTATAGCTGAGATTTGCCTTGGTTGGTGTCTGCCAGGTAATTGGGAGATGCTGTTCTCAGCAGGTGCATCTGTTTCCTGTTCTCAGCTGTCCATCCGGGCTTTGACCGGAAAGCCCATGTGGCAGGTTGTTTGGGAATTTCCCCAGACAGGGCTGAGGCCACTGGTCTGTTGTTTTCTTGGAATTCATGCCAAGCACGATCTGTTTTGATCCTGCTCCCTGTTGATGGAGTGTCTGGATGCCTTTCTTTCTGAGAAAGCCAGACTTGAGGTATGCTCCGAGAGTCTGGGTTTAGTAGTAGCTGGTTTACAGATGCCCAGCAGAGGTTATTCTCAAGATGTTATTGGTTGCACTTTCACTCTTTGCTTTTTTATCTTGATTCCCGTTTATGTCATTGTTGCATTTTCCCTGAGAATGAAGAATATTGCTTGTAAGCTAGTGAGCCAGGGAAAATATATTCAGATTCAACTTCAGGGTATTTTTTTAATCAGATGTGAGATTCTGATAAAATTCCATGTTGAGATTATTCTAGCTGCTATTCCTCAGCTGTATTTTAGGCTCTGAGATACTAACAGCTCTTATTTCAAGCCTAATTATGTGACTCTGAGATTAATATTATTTTTTAAAGATTTATGTAGACATACATAACTGAGGTATAGGTCAGAGGTGCAGGGGTGGTGAGAGGATTCCCCAAAGACAGAGTGGGGATCAGAACAGGCAGATCCACCAAGTACACTGCTGAGGGGAGCAGCCGGCAAGGAGAGGTCTGCGGCACCATGTGGATTCCCTCTGGGGCCGGTGATTGAACTCCTACTGAAGCGGCGGCTAGCTTGCAGTGCTGTGCCCTAACCCATTGTGCCACCAAGGAGGGTCCCCAATATTAATTTATTTTTGAAGGTGGGTAGACTCATAAAGAGATCAAAAGTGACTAGGTTAAGGCTCTACTCTGTGACAGTTGCAAAATTTAAACCAAGATCTCTTATTCTTGATCCCAAATACTTAACCAATAGACCATGTTCTTTAGCCAAAGTTGTAAAGTCTAATTATGGCATTTTTCCAATGGAATTTATATGATTCCTTTAAAAAAACTGAAAGTCTTCTATTTACATCCTGACACTATCAACCCTGACCTGATTCTTTGCTATCTTCCATTGTCACAAAGAATGTCTGCGATTTTTTTTAAAGATTTATTTATTTGCATACAAGAAGTCAGGTGTAGGCCAGAGGTAGGGTTGGGGGAATGAGAGGATTTACCAGAGACAGTGGGGAGCAGAAAGAGCAGACCTACTGAAGTACCACTGCTGAGGGTAGCAGCAGGCAAGACAGGAGAGGTCTGCTGTGCCATGTGGGTCTGCTCCCTGGCAGGGGATTTAACTCATTGGTGATCACTTGATAAAGCTGTATCTGTAACCCTTGCATCAACAGGGACTCCCACTGTCTGCAAATTTTAACTTATTTTTTCACTAAAACAAATTCCACAGACCTGAATGGATAGACTCCCTGAGAGTCCACTCCCAAGTAATTTTGTTTCACGCACCAAAAGTGACTCATGGTCTTGGACATAGAATGGGGACTGTGAGAGGCCTGTGGCAGAAGGAATCGAGGGTATTCTTGTGTAGAGTGGATGTGAAAACCAAGGACCTTCTTGCCTACCATAAAGGAAACCTTATCATAATTTACAAAATGTTCCCTTACACTGAGGTGGTGTGAGTCTCCATTAACACTGACCTTTCACCAGGTGGCAGATACTCAAGTGCCCATGCGTTAACCCGCTCCCCTCTCATAAGGGAGGAAGTGAGCATTGAGACAGGATTCTGATAAGTGGTAGGACCAGGCCATGTGGGAGTGGAGTCCCTTAATCAGTGCATTTTGGCTCTTAGCACACAGCTTCTGCAGTCCTTCAAACGTCAGTGGAAATAAAATATTTGTAGAAATTCCTGGAATCTCACTAAGGAATCATGGACCACATCCCTTCACAAAGTGGCAGATGACTGACACTTCTAGCTTTCCTCTCTCATTATATCATTCTATGAATTAAGCCTCATTAATGGATGTCCACACAGCAATATATGGAGGTATTGATGCCTCTCGCTGAGCCCTGCTGACCTATGCAAAGGGAAATTGAGAACAGTGCATTCTGGGAATGCAAATAAGATGTGTCACACAGATGAGCCAGACCTTTTATGATCTTTCCAGAAAAGCATGCTTTCCCTTTGGTTACAGAAAAACAAAAGCTTGATATGGGACTCAGACCTTTTCCCCAGAAATTTGTGGCTATTTAAGTACTCTCTACCAACTGAGGGCTATGAGTAGCAATTACAATTATAAGTAAGAAGATAGGAGAAGAACCTGTTAAAAGCAAATATAGGAGCACAACAGTGTAATCCACATTGTAATTAAGTTAAAAAGGTGTCTTTGGATAAAGAACAGATGGTCCTATGCTTTAAAAAAAAAAAAGTAGTTATTACTTTTTTAAGGAACTTCGTATGGTGAGATATTTTTATTTGACATGAGAGTGCCAGGAGGTCCCATTGCTCACCCCTGCCCACTTTATTCTCTTTGTCTTCTCCACCTTGTACTTAGTATAGAGAATTACAATAA